AGCCCAGGCTGTCCTCGAACTCGCAACGATCCTCCTGCCTCAGCCTCCCGAGTGCTGGGATTACATGCGTGCACCACCACGTCCAGCAATTGGTGGTTTCTTTTTGCTGCACAAAGGATTTGTAATAAAATGAGATCCCAGTTGTTGGTTCTTGTGATAGTTCCTGTTAGATCAGGGTTTTGTTCATCAAGTCTTTGCCTACACCAATGTCTACCTATTCTACCTACCAAGAGTTCTGTCTACCCAGAGTTCTGTCAACCTATTTTGTCCTCTAGCAGATTTAGTGTTTCTGATTTAATATTTAGATCTTCGATTTCAGTTTAGTACATGGTGAAATATATGGGTCTAGTTTGAATCTTCAGCATATGGAAAGCCAGTTTTCCCAGCACCATTTATTAAACAGGCTATTGTCTTTCTTCCAGTGAAAGTATTTGGTTCCTTTGTCAAAGATAGGGCGGCTGAATATGTTTGGAGTTGTTTCTGCATCTTCTCATCTGTTCCATTAATCCTCAGGGCTGCTTTTTGGTTTTTTTGTTTTGTTTTGTTTTGTTTTGTTTTTACCAGTACTGTGCTGTTTTTATCACTGTAGCCTTGTAGTATAATTTCAAGTGAGGGATTGTGATGCCCCCTGCTTTGCTTTTGTTGCTCAGAATTGCTTTTGCTATTCTCTTCCGGCTGCAAATGAATTTTAGGATTGTTTTCTATAAATCTGTGAGGTATTCTATTGGTATTTTAATCGGGATTGCATTAAATCTGTATAACACTTTTGGAAGTATGGCCATTTTCACTATATTGGTTCTTCCTACCCAAGAGAAGGGATATAGTTTTTTTTTTTTTTTTTTGAGACAGGGTCTTGTTATGTAGTCCAAACTGGTGTTGAATTCACTATGCAGCCCAGGCTGGCCTGGAACTTGGGGCGATCCTCCTGCCTCAGCCTCACAAGTACTGGGATTACAAGTGTGTGCCACCACGCCCAGCTTTCCATTTCTGATACCCGCTTTCCTCCCCTTTTTCAGAGTACTGTAGTTTTCAACGAAAAGGTCTTTTACTTTCTTCGTTAGATTGATTCCTAAGCATTTCATTTTTGGGGGTGCTTTTGTGAAAGGTGTTGTTCCCTGATTTCTCTCTCAGTGAGTTTGTCATTTGTGTACAGGAAGGCTATTGATTTCTGAGTGTTGACTTTGTATCCAGCTACACTACTGAATTTGGTTATTAAATCAGGAAGTCTTTTAGCAGAGTTTTTGGGGTCTCCTATGTAGAGTACCCTGTCACCCACACATAAGGTTAATTTAGCTTCTTCCTTTCCTGTCCTAATTCCTTTTATTTCTCTCTTGTCTACTTGCTCTGGCTAATGTTTCCAGAACTGAGTAAGAGAGAATAAGACTGGAGACAGTGGACTTTCTTGTCTTGTTCCTGATTTTAGAGTTAAAGCTTTCAGTTTTTGTCCATTTAGTAAGCTGTTGGCTGTCTCCACCCCTCCCTCTACGACTCTCCATAAAGACCATTGGAGCAAAGCATGGGGCCGCACACCTGTCATCCCAGCACGCTGAGAGGCTGAGGCAGGGGAATCACAAGTTTGAGGCTTGCCTGTGTAATTTAGCAATTTAGCAAGGCCCTGTCTCAAAAAAGAAAAAGAAGCTAGGCCTAGTGGCACATGCCTATAATACCAGCACTGCGGAGGCTGAGGCAGGAGGGTTGCCAGGAGTTCAAGGCCAGCTTGGGCTACTTAGTGAGTTCAAGGCTAGCCTGAAGTACACAGTAAGTCTTTGTCCCAAAACAACCAAATAAATAAAAAATAAAATAAAAAGCGCTGGGGATGTCGCTCAATGTGAAGCCCCGGGGTCCCATCCCCAGGACCCCACACACAGAAGTGATGACGATGGACCCCTCAGATAAGCCAGGATGATTTCCCATCCCACAGCCCTTGACCCCTCCCAATCTGCAAAGCC